TTCTGGCTTACAGTAAGTGCTTTGTTAGGAAATGTTTTTTGCAGCACGATGTCCTGTCTTTCAAAGCGTATTGACCTGTCTGCGGCTGCGGTGGGTGCACTGTTATGGAAGAAGGAAGGAAAACATCGCCAAAGCACACACAATATGCCGAAAATAAAAGTGGGTCAAGCGACCTTACCCTACACCCCTGCCGAAAGTTTGCAATTCCCTAGTAAAGTTTGATAAGGAAACCTTTCCAGGTGAACAAGCATGTGAACAAGACCAAGTCGCAAAACCAAAAATTATAGAAACATCACATGTGGCATGATTTCCAAAAAACCATGGGTAGCAGCGGGCGGTCGTAAAGCTGGAAAAGCGCAAACGCTGGTATAAAGCTACCAGAAGAGATGGGACAAGGGCCTGCGTGCCAAAAACCTTTTTTTTTAGGAATTATTGCCTGACGACAGGGACCGCAGGCAAAGGTACACTTCCAGGCAAGAACCCAGCACACACAGCAGCACCCACGCTCTCAACCAAAGGAACGCTTGCACTACCAGGGCATTCATCCTGAAACTTCGCAACACCTTAACGGTTTTAACGGCCTCATTAATGAACTGAGCCTGCGAGCTCCCAACACAGGAGCGGAAGCCGATGAAGCAGCTGGGTCAGACCCCGGAGCCTCAGCAGTGGCAGTAGCCACCTTAGGCTTCTTAAGGGGGTGCTCTGTAGACCCACACAAGAAACACGAACCCCGCTTCCTCGGACCCTCCTTGCCCTTCCCCTTCTCAGGATCACCAGGGCACGGAGTTTTGGGGTCCTTGGCCGGATCCTTTCCCTTTCCTTTCCCATCTTTTCCTTTCTTCTTTCCCTTTGGCTCTTCCTTGGGCTTGTCGCCCTCAGCAGCCTCCACGCGCTTCTTATACACAGGGCACTCGGAACGCATGTGCTGATCAGAAGAACACTCCCAACAACGACCAACACCTTGCACAGCCTGCAAGTCATGCTGACGCGGACCCGCGACCGTTAGTGCAACCACCCGAAGTCATCCAGAAGTGGCAGGCGGTACGCAATGCATTGAGCTTAGGCTTCTTTTTGGGATCGTCTCCCCCACTGATGCTCATGAGCTCAGCTTCAGCCTGCACAGCCTTTGCGTACTCAGCCACCGCCTCCACAACAGGAGTGTAGTCAAGTCTCAGCGTATTCCTCAACATAGCCATGCGGAAGGACAACTGGGAATCACTTGCAATAAGCTTCGACGCCAACTGATCAACCCCATGTAACAGGAGAGACGCATCCGGCACCTGAACGCCAAGGCGACTGCAACGACCAAACCACCTAAATCAGCGACGCAGCCCATTGCTCAGATCCACAAAGGAGGTCACGGAAGGAGGCGAGGTCAAACCTTGTAACAGCTGCTGCCTCTCAGCCAAACCTCCAGGCTGATACAAGCACAGCACCCGAAACAACAAGGCAACTGTTGAGATATGCCTAGAGGCAACCAAGTCTTGATACACCTGCTCCGGCACAGCCTTCACAAGCATCTGGCACGCGCGCGCCTCAAGCCTTTGGTACACCGCAGCTTGCAACGCCGATGAGGCTTCAACGGACTGGCCATCTGCCACCGCATGTAAAGGTCATCAGCCTCACGCTCAACAAGGCTCCACCACTCAGCTGAAGCCGGACTCAAGTCATTCATGAACGGCCGAATGCTAATCAACCAATCAGCGCAACGCAAAGCCGCATCAGGAAAGGAAGAAAGCCCCAAGTCAGGCAAGGTCCACATAACCCTATCACCCGGGGCGTAAGGATTCCTACCACCAACAGCATCCCCTTGGCTTGCACACGGCACAGCCGGAGGCCCAAACCCCTCAGTACCTAAGCCCGGACCTACTGGCTTATCAAACCCCGAAGCTGCACTACCCGTTGAGAACCCCAAACCACAAGGTATAGGAGGAGGCGAGCAGCCCGAGTTCGACACAGGGAAGGCAGGCAAAGGGGGCTGAGACAGACCAGGACTGGATACCTGGAGAGACTGGCCAGGCTGCGGCTGCTGCGAGGTGCCGCCGCAGGAACGCAGCACACTCGCCACGGAAGAAGGACCATGAGGACTGCAGGATGGCATACTTGGGAGACTGGGGGCGGAGGAGGCTCTACAAACCCTAAAGTTGGGGTCCTAGGAGGGGTTACCCGAGCGCCCTGTTGGAAGTGCAGTTCCCACGAGTAGTTGGGAGATTACTTGGAGTAGCTTTGGGAGTAACAGGGCGATTACCTTCATCAGGCGCCGGGCTACCTATCAGTACAGGCGAGTCTTCGCACCTACCACCTACGATAGCCCTTGCAGGAGAAGTCCAGGGAAAGTCCTCAAATACGCCTACAGTAAGGGGCATTAGGAGGAAAGCCCGGCGCGCCTACCACAGCACTCTGTACACCACTCTGTACATCCGCTGCCTGCACACGACCTCCCATTGACAGAAACTGTAGCCACACTGTCGGCCGAAGTTCGAGTCAGCACTCCAGGCATCTCAGCTCCATCTCCAATCATAGGCCTTCCAGCTGTAGGCGGCATACCGCCAGTTGTAGTTGCCTGCAACACAGCAGAGCCATGCTGCGGCACCGATCCACGGCCGCTCTCCACAGCAGTCGCTGCTCCAGCAGAACCAGCTCCGATGAAAAAGGATGGGCCTGAAAACCCTCCATCTGCAGCGCCGCCTGTCGACCACGTTCTTCCAACGCAAGACGCTCGAAATGCCTGTCAAGGGCTGTATGGTCTACCCAACCCAGAAGCAGTCCTTGAATCTTTCGCCAGAAGGAGTCCTAGCACGGGACTCATCTCCAGCCATCGACTCTCCACGACCAGTTCGTACCTCCGCCACCTGGACCACAGGCAGTCCTTCAAGCACAGTACGGCCTCCAGCTTCCATGTCTTCGCTCCTGGCACCTGACTGCCGCAACACCTCCAACTCGAGACCCTCATCAGCTGTTGCCATAGAAGCGTACGTGGTCAGACTGCCCTCCGCCAGGAACAACGCTGTCGCTAAGCTCCGCACGCAATCCACCTCCCGGAATTGGCCCTATGTTGGCCCCACTTACTTGACGATCCACCTCCCGGAATTGGCTCTGCGTTGGCCCCACTTGACAGTCCATCTCCCGGAGTTGGCTCCGTGTTGGCACCACTTGACAGCCCACCTCCAGGAATTGGCTCCGTGTTGGCACCACTACTTGACAGCCCAGCTCCTGGACTCCAGGAATTGGCTCTGTGTTGGCCACACCAGACGTTCCAGAATCCTCCGGTGTCTCACCATACGGAGGATCTCTTTGCCCATCGTCATTATCTCGTATCTGCAACGGTCCTGCTTCGTCAGTGTCGGCCACGTCAAGACGAAAAGTTTCGGGAAGGCCATGGCTTGACCCTGCCATAGTAGCAGAGCTCTCTTACGCCTAAACCCAAGTCCGGAGAGGCCTGACAGCCTTAAAGTTACCCAAAGGTAGAGAAGTGAAGGAGACCCCAAACAGCTACAGCCTAAGGGCCCAGAAAAAGCTACCCACTGTGGCTAGAAAGCGTGAGTTTGGGCTCCTAACCTCTGTAAAGCACAACACTCTTTTTCTCAACCTTCAGCAAAAACGGCCTCAGAGCGCAGCAACTGTTCGACCTATAAAAGCCTGGATCTCCGCCCAACACTAGCCAATACAGCCCAGCAAAGGGGACCCTTCTCCAGGTCTTGGGGGTCTAGTAAAGATTTATGGGGCTCTAAACACACCCCCATTTACAACAACAGTGCCCGAGAGCTGCTCTACGAGGCAAGCGCGCAAGGCTTTGAGGAAGCTAAGAAGTCGGGGAGGGCTTAGTCTCTCCCATGCGCAAGCTAATCCAATCGGATGATCTGTCCACGCTGCTCTGTCACGCAAGCACGCGTTTGATGAACCGGGGCAGTTGGAAGAGCACAACACCCTTGGAAACGCATGGTGATTGGATGCTCCGTCCTTTCTGCTAAAAAAGTGCCGCACCGCTGCTCTGTGCAGTAAGAACGCCCTGCTTTAAGGAGGGGGGGTTGGGTGGGGGCGCAGCCCCCCATTGTGCAAGAGATGGGTGGAGGATCAAAAAAATCAGAACGGCTCAAAAAACCGCCGGTGACTGAAGATATTGCCTAACTTGAATCACAGCACGCCAGCTCTGAATTTCCAGAGCTTGCGGATGCATGTTGTCATTTACAACAATTGGAACTCTACCAATTTGCTTTAAACTGTGCGCGTGGACGGTTTGAAAAAGCGGCGGGGCGGGGGGGGGCAGCCCGCGTCATTGGCAAACAAGATGATCCGCACAACCTTCCCCTCCTGGTGATGGTATGATGTTTCTTCTGTATTGCAAGCGTGGATGGCTTTTCAGGAAGAGGGGGGGGTTGGCGGAGCAGCCCCTCACACGCAAACAACATTATCCACAACCTTCCGGAAGTGCAAACATGATGTTGCTATGAACTTCGGCTGTATTGCGAGCATGGATGGCCTTCAAAATGGGGACCCCTTCGATGGTGGAGAAATGTGGGGGGTCCCGGAAATAGGCGGCGCGCCTGTTTCCATATCCTTGAAAGTGCCGGTCCCTTGACATCCCTTGTCCACATTGCGGGTCATGCTCCGCAAAGCCTATCTGACCTTGAAACTGAGGACACTAGGCGGGGAAATAGGCGGCGCCCATAGTGACATACCCCCCCAACCGCCTATTACGAGGGGTCCCCATCCTTCAAACAAAGCGGAGGTTGCGGGGGCCGCGGCCTCCCGCAAGTGATCCGCACGTGTCCGCCATACTGCAAACCATGGACATGTGATTCCCTATATGGCCCCCAGGTTTACATTGCGAGGGGTTAGAGATTGCCTGCCGACATCTCCGTGTAGGGTTCAGGGTTGCGAGCCTACATCTCTTTTCAGTTGCCGGCCAACATTCTCTCTTAAAGCTTAAAGTGTGCCGGCCATTGTTGTTGTTGTTGTTGTTTCAACCTCCCTTTCTTTCCAGCGTTCTGCTTTCCTGTTCTTCTTTCTTGCTTACGTTCCTTTTTGCTTCCCTTGCTACTTTGTTTCACGGCGTGCTGAAGGTCCTGAAGCGACGGCAACTACCAGGATCGGGCCCCTGCCCCCCTTGATTCCTGTCACTGTTGACATTCTTCCAATTCCAGAAGGATCCGAAGGTCTAAAAACGATGATGGTTACGAGACTCGCGACCCCGACCCCCACGATCTTTATGCCTGTTGACAATTTTCAAATCCAAGAGGGTCTGAGGGTAAAAAAGAAGACAGCTACGAAGATCGCAACCCCGGGAGGTCCAAGGACGGAACGTCACGAATGGACGCCCAGATGCAAACGACCTTGTCTCCAACAACCATCGGGAATCGCCCATCGCGGGCTCTGCTGCATCACATCATCATTGCCAAAAACGGAAATTGTCGGGCCCCTACTCGGTAGTTTTGGAAAAACACAATGATAACGAGGAAACATGCCCGGCTTTCCTTCTGCTTTGGCACTAGCTATGCCTGCACTGAGCCCAAAGCCACGGTCTTTGCGCACTAGGGCCAACTTGACACACGCCTCTCTCATGGAGACCAAAGCCTAGGCTCGGAGACTCCAAAGCTTCCAGATTCATCGGGTCCATTCCCGACCTCGGACTAGAGTCCAGAGGACCTTCTCGAGCAAAGGCTTTTCGGCCCCTTTTCACCGAGCTCCTCCGCATCAGTTTGCTCATTCACGCGCCGTCTCTGCCGCTTGGGCTTGCTGTGGGGGGGACCGTTGGGGTATAGGGAACCTTGACAAAAGAAGATCGCTGCGAAGCCGTCCAAGGAGCGCCATGAGAGGAGGCAGCAGAACTCGAATTCGAAGGGACGAACATGCGCCCTGCTGCCGGCCCAATCGCCAGAAGGGAAGATCTTGCAAGTGAAGATCATGGGAAAGTCTCAAATCTGAGCCCGGATGACCTTGAAGCTCTCCGATCCTGCCAAAAATGTCTCAGGCGGCTGCTGCTCAGAGGCTTGCCGATGCCCGGCAGCGGGTACTCCGGAGTGATGACCGTCATTTGCCCGGTCACTGGGTCTTGATACACGACCTTCTCCTTGAGTTCCTCACCCGTTGGCGCGCCGTAGCTGCTTGATGAGGCAACCAGCACGTTGCCAAGTTACACTGCTTGGTGCCCTCCAAACCCAGTGACCAAGTCCAGCACAAAATCTCCCGCTTGAAGGCTGATAACGTGGCGACCCGTCCCAATTAGGGGACTCTGCCCCAGGAACCATAGCCTCCTTTTCGTCAGACATCGCAACCGCCAGGCCCTCGAAGAGAAAGGAAAAGGGGCAGGGATGCGCAAGCAGCAACTCGCCAGGTGACACCAAGCCTCGATCTCCACTACTCCGCTCCCACAGCCGCAGAGCCGGGCTCACCAGCAATGACAAAGGGGGGGATCAGACAAAGAGGCAGAAGTCGTGAAGCTCAAAGACAGAGACGCCCAGGGCAGCAGCAGATCAACTCAAGCTCCGGTGCAACTGATGAAGCACTGACGCCGAGCAACCAACACAGCAAAGGACGTGCGGCACGTGCAGCGCTTTTGTTAGGATACCTTTGCTCGAGCAAATTGGCTTAAAGCGTAGAAAGCGGACATGGCATGGGCACCAATCTGCAGCGCTCTACAAAGGCAGTTTCCACAAAGAGTGACCTGAGAAATGCAGGAATTGCAAGGGCATACCAGTAGGCATTTCACAATCCTGTTGCATAGGTTAGCAAGGACTTAGGCATGTCTGAGTTGAAGCTCCAGCTGCTCAGCTATGCTCAGCTTGCTACAGTTACAGCCCATGATCAAATCAGCCCAGGATGCTGCATGATCTCTTCAGCCGATGACGCGTTGAGCACGGCCTCACACAAACGCTGACAGGGTGGCACATGTTGGCCTGCTGATATCTGCTCACAAAGCTTTCAAAATCACAGCACTTGCCAGTGGCATCCTTTACACATTTCATTCGGCGTGAAGATCCGTATGTCGCCATGATCCTACATAAGTCTCTTGGCTCACTAACATGGTCCTGGTACTGTCCTGGCTCCCTTGATCAGAACTTAAGTGCGTTGATTCATTCAGCACAGCTGACAGAGATTACCTTGCCGCCCGTGACCTACAGCAGCATCTTGAGCAAAATGTGAGCCACGCAGCCTTGATGTGTTGGTGAATCACGTCAGCCTGCGCATTGAAAGCCTCGCAGCTGCAGCACTAGTCTCACTCATCGTCCAGACTGTGACACCTTTGCAAAGTGTTCAAGGTCAAAGAACCTTGGCGAAGGGATCATTCACCTGAAAATCAGCATACTGGGCCTGTCAGGTGCCACGGCGCAATTGCAAGGCAAAATGTTCCGGAACACGGGATCAGGATACTCACGGCCTCGGATATGTTGTAATCCAGCTTATCCAGCGGCTCCAGCATTGGTCGCAGATGGATTTTAAGAATATTCAGGCCTTGGCACGAGTCAGAACACAGAACTCCCCACCGGACGCAGTTTGCTCTGCAAACTGGGGGGCTTCAAGGTGCAGTCTGCTAGCTGGTGAAGTTGATCCTATGAGAATGGCTTACACCCATCCATTTGGCATGCTCAAAGACCAGACCATCTTACTTCGCTGCAGATGGAACATGTTGCTGCAAAATAATGGCTATGACCAAAAAAACATGCCCATGTGAACAACTCGGGCAAAACTCTTTGAGCTCCACGCCATCCTTGCATTGGCTGGAATGCAGTGCCTCCAGGTCAGCCTGCGCTCACTTTCCCCTTTTGTAAAAGGCACTGAGAGGCCTCAGGCCTTCGATGCAGCGAGCGCCGCGATGCAGTGTCGGAACATCTCGTGCTTGTCCTAGAAGATGCAGGGCCGATGCTTCTCTGCTTTGTACGGAACCATAGGAACTGCTGGATTTCGGGATGTTTCGAGTCTTGTACAAGCAGCCTTGCCTTGGCCTGTTTCTCGGCCCTCATCTTTGTTAGGTTGCTGCCTACATTTACATTGCACATGGCTGACATACCGCTTCAGCGAATATCAAGCGAGCTGCTACAAACATATCGGTTACCACAAAACCGTGCCTCTTTTACGTGAAATGCAACCAACGCAATTCATTTCTTGCACTAAGAAGAGCCACTCGAAGCTTGTAGTGGGTATCTCTTTTCAGCATCTTGAAATTTTGTCTGGTCCAATGATTTGAGTTGTTGCTGCTGTTTCAATGTCGCCACCATATCTCTGTGATGCGTAGACTCGAGTCTCAAGTGCTTGTTTTGGTTCTTGGATTCATTGTCTGATCTTGCGAAAGCAATAAGCCTTTGGGACCTGTGTCATGCGAAACCAGCTGCTCCTGCGGCAACCACTTGGATGACTACCCTTCTTGTGCGTAAGACCTTCCTTGAATTTTGTAGTTTGGCGCGCGCGGGCAATCTGCTGCCACATACAAACCAACTGTGCAAGACTAGAGATGTGCACGACAACCTGCATCAAAGTGGGAGCTGAACCTTGTCCGGACCTTCGCCGGGGAAGTACTCGTCAAAGGCCTCCTCAACAGTCTCCTGGCGTGATCTTCTGCAAAACATAACACGACACCAGTGTTCATCATATTGTGGCAGAGTAGGGCAAGGCATTGAAATGCCCTGCAAGTTCCAATTCTCAGAAGGCAGACCTGGCATGGTCTGGATGCATCCGGATTCCATCGAGGGCCCACGGCTGGACCAAGAGACGTCCAGTTTGGGATCAAAGTTACAAGTTCCAATCGCAATCGCTTTGGATGCAAGCCACACACTAGAGGTATGACAACCTGTGCTTTTGATTCAAACCTACAGAGGTCCTTGAGCTTGTCCAGATTTTCCAAGCACTGCTGGAGGTTGTTCCTGATACTGCGTACAGGCCACTTCCAGATCACATGTTGAACACCTAGGTATGCTGTATCAAGTGTATCCAATGTATCCAAGCTGCATGGAGTGTGGCCAGCTCAATGCTGCAGTAAGTGGGCTCCGAAGCTTGCCATCCTAGCGACGGCATAGAACCATGATTCATGCGCGTGTACTTCGGCCCTGATGAAAGAAAGCTCAAGCCTGGTCAAGGAAGAGTGATGCCAAGGGATGCTCTCCATTCTTGGGCACGACCTGGCTCTGATGCCAGCATGAGGTGACACATGCCTGAGAGGAATATCATCTTCAGAAGCTGAGTCTTTAGCCAAATTCTTCGGATGCGTCAGCCAGTTTGAGTACACACGTCGACTGTCGGCAAGGTTGCTGGCAAGCGCCTGCCACCGTTCTTTCAAACACGTTCCACGAAGCACCCACATCTCACTTTTCTTGCCACATAGCGCAAAGGACGTGCACACTAGAAGTTATAGAGTCTGATCAAAGAGAACGCCCACGTAGGCGTACAAGAACACACGAACGCATTTCATTGAAACGTACGAGCTCACTTGCAATGAGCAAACAGCAGAAGGAATGAAAACCCCAGCTCGCAGGGTGCTGCCAAGCCAGCAGGCGAAAGAAAGAGCCTGCAAGACACGACAACTGGCACGCAACCCCAACGCCGAGTTGAAACGTGTTTTTCCTATCGAGGACGTCAGCAACGCATCAGCTTGTTTTTGTCGCCATGCCTCAATGTTGAATCGCTTTGCTTCCACGCACCAGAAGGAAACAGTTTGCAGTGAATCTATGTGGCAACCGACAGGGCCCCCAAATGCCACCATTTGGCAGCTGAGGTCCAGCACACAAGAACGAGCTTGCAAGCTGGTCATCTCCGCCTTCATGATGAGTTTTGAGACATGTGAGGTCCATGTCTGCTAGTTGAAGATATCCTTATGCTTTCTTGCTATAAGCCTAACTTGCCAATTCGCCAAATGCCTTGGCTCCTTGGCTTGGGCAAATGAAAGTTAAATGCTTGGCTGCTTGAAACACGTCTCTGCGAAAATCCCGCACGACGTAAGCGAATGGGATCGGCCTGCCGCAGCTCGCCGACAATAGCCGCATTGACATTGTTCACGACCTGGCAAAAGCTCTGACAAAGAAACCGTAGCTAAGTGCTCTTCGAATGCACAACAATTGCTAAGCTGCTAAGAAAAAAGGCGCATGCTTCCTGCTCAATGCTTTTTAATACAATCCACGCACAGGACACGGCGCAAACCGCATTGATGTCGCCTGGGCCCAAGGACTGCATCTCGTAACAAAGCTCAACCACTGCTCAACGAGACGATGTCTGCTGCAGAGTCTTCAGTACTACCTGAGGTGACCACACGTCGTGACCGACCTCATCATTGACTCTTGCCTCAGCATGTGGTCTTGCGCGTGGTCAAATAGTCAACGTTCTAGTGTTGATGTCGAAAGTGAAACTTGACACATCGCACCCCTTATCCATCCAAGGCCAAGTCTACGCTTGGAAAACTCAAGCAACGAGAACACCTTGTGGGGTGGGGGGGGAGGGTGGGGGGGGAGGGGCGGGGAGTGGGGGAGGGGGGGGGGCAAGAAGGGCAGCTTGAAAGGGGTCCAGGTCTTGGAGACTGTAAAGATTTAAAGGGGGCTGGTTAACAACGCCCCCCCCGCAGAAAAACGCTGTTTGACATGGACATGCTGATCGCACTTTGGATCGAACTGGGGCTGGAAGCTTCGGAAAGAGGCTAACAGCAGATATCCCCTTAAAGTAGAAGCAGCACCCTGTATGATATCGCAGCACCCCGCAGCCTGATTCGCCACACTAAACTGCCACTTTCCGAACCAACAATAGCACCTCCCGGACATAGGGAAGTTGGCATGACTTCGAGCAATCCAGAACTCTTGTCCGATCTCGTGCATTAGACTCGTCGTCCGCAACCAAGAAAACTTGAACACGGAGAGCAGCAACTGTTTTGAGGGTCTCCCAAACTCTTTGCAGTTCGAAGAACAGACTGAAACATGGGCCCTCCGAAATGCGACGATTGCACTTAGCGGGAAGACAGCCTTTGCAAGAGAAGCCTCCTCGTACCTGAATTTGTTCGCCGTTGTGGTTTTGCAGCAACTGCTAGTGCAACTTGTCTTCTCCAAACGAGGGCACCTGAAAAAGAATCCCGGCAGGCCAAGCATGTTGGGTGACGCGATTAGCAGGCTTATGATGTTCAACGGCAACCAAAGGCAGCGGGCACATGCCAGCGACGTCATAAGCTCTGAAGGCCGCCCCGGTCTCATCAAAAAGGGAATCGGGACCTGAACTAGACTGGAGCAAGGGTCTGCCATGCGCCGCTAAAAGCCCTCGCGGCAGGGCAAGTCCCGTTGTACCAAGCTGGCTTGGCAAAATTGGAAGGCCTAGATGCTGACGCTGAAGCCCAAGCAGCTGAAGTAGATGAAGTATTGGTGTTGAGCCCGTGTCCTTGAGCTGTAAGGGCAGGCCGTGAACGGGAACTGGTGATATTGATGTTGATTGTTCGGTTTCGAACACACTTCATCAAATGACTCACGTCCAAGGGATTACTGCTCATGCGCTAGAATGCACTCGGCATCACCGAGTATCACTGAGTATCACTCGCCGCGCGCCAAATGAGTCTCACGGAATACCCTTCCAAGGTAGCCGAGCAAAATATTGCGAGCTGTCAGTGACAGGAAAAGTGCCGCCAGGCATTCTTCTCGCAAATCCAGCTAGCCAACACAGGGACACATGGAGTGACACGTCCAACGAGCGGAGAGATCACACCAAGGACACCAGCCTCTGAAGAAACACCTACCAGCTGCACCGAGCATCAGCTTGGGCACGTGCATTATGTAAAATGCTTCGTCGATGAGGGTGGTGGTGAAAGCGTCAGGATCATCAGGATCCAAGCCTCAGCCGGCCATTTCTGACAGCTTGGTGACTTGGTGATGGGATTTGGTGATGCTGCATCTGCTCACTTCGAAGGTATCCAAATGCTCTGAGTGCTCCGCAATCCGTCTCTGTAACGGCCTTCTCCACCGACTGGAGGAGGAAGTTTTGCTCGACCTGAGCAAGCAATGCAATACTTTTCCTAAAGCCTGTTCGAGGTGCGTGCAACGAAAATAGTAAGCTGAAAGCCAGAACGTACGAAGACACAAGCTCTTGCACCCTGACATTCTGAGATTCTGACAGTCTGCAAAACACAGAAACCATGATCAATAATGCGCGAACTCCTTGCCTATGCAAGAGCTTCGTGTCTGGAAGCCCGTCATGAGGGCAATGACCAACCGGCCTGGCTTAATTGCACAGCTCTTGCAGCCGGATCAAGGGTCCATCAAAACATGCCCCCGCGGCAGGTTGCTGACGAAGCTTGCTTTGTCTTCGATCAAATCTACCACGTTGCGCCTCTGCAGCAAACGAGGTTGCTAATCATCATTACCTCATGTTCTTGCATGTCCTGCAGCGTTTCAGACTCATAGGGCGACCACGCGACTGAATGAATGTATGCATTGAACTGCCTCAGAGTTACTGGGAAACTGTACTCAAGTTGCCGAATCTGCTGTACCTGCTCAGTGTTGGACTGAACTCGCTGAGTTATCATGGCGGTCTCCTTCCATAGCCCGCACCCCAATCCCATTGTTGCACTGCAAGCAAGAAACTTCCTCGAGCACGGCGCCAACATCCCGCATTTCGGAGTTGGCAAATTGCTGGGAGAATACCTTTGGCCCCCACTCACCAGGACGCAGAAGACAAGGGGGAATCTCTAGTGCAACGCACTGCCACCTTGGAATTGTCTTTCGAAAATTTGTCGATGACCTTTATGCCCTGAACATCTGCCTGTCAAAGATTAAGTGTATGCATCTTTCCTTGGTGCACAAATGCTGCGCGCACGTTTGGGCAAGCCTCATCCAGCAGGCCACGGACAACAACAACGAAGTTCTCCGGGCCGAACTCCTGCTCGACGGCCTGCTGATGCTCCTGAGGCCAGTCAGCCAGAGCACTGAACCTTGGACTGTTGCATCCGTTCTGTCCTGGACAATGTCCGCAATGGCAACGAACACTGATGTCAAAGCTTCCGCATAAGGTGCAGGACCCTGGTCCTGCCAGAAGCCGTTAGCACAAACGTTGGCAGACGATGCAATAGAACGAGGTGGAACGATCAAGCGCGACAGCTCCGCAGCTCGCTTGGCCCCGGCAGAGCCAAGCCTGTGACGCGATAGCAAGGCTTACTGCCCGCAAAGAGACTTTGAGCACATCTCCTGAGTTCCCTGCTGACGCTTGATGTCCATGCTGGCCTTTTCGGCCAAAGATCGTTGAATGAACCTGTGCAGTCCTACGGCATACTTCCAGTGCGACCGCCTGCCTTCACTGCTGAGTGATGTTTCTACCATCTGAGGGTCGACTCAACGTATTTTTGGACTCCTTCTGATGCGAGGCCTCAGAGTCCAATAAACAGGTGGGCTCATTTCTTCAAGCTTCTCATGGCTTCTCTCCTTTTCACCACCGAGCCAAGGGCCCAGAGGGTGGAAAAGCTTTGCAAAACGCGACACACCGGCCGTGTCTTTGGCGGCCATGGCAGCTTCAAAGCGTCTGCCAGCAGCAGTGCAATACACATGTCTCCGCAGGACCCAACTGCCCAGCCCTTGCCCAGCCTGCGCACAATAGCGCTAAGCTGCCGTTCTGCTTCAGTCCTCGGCGCATATACCAAACTGATTGCAGACCCGCTCCATGCGGCAACACGAACAATTAAAGCAAGTGAAATGGCTACGGCCAGCTACTTTGGGCAGCATGGCAGCTTCTCAAAGCGAAGAAAACCCTCATGCGTACATCTTAGCTGTCAGCAGTGTGCGGACAGTTGCATCATCAGTGCCGGGCCTTGGCCAAGTCTAGTTTCTTGTACAGGCAGATGGAAACCGTCATTCTGCCCTCCATGCTCTGGTCCACCGACGGTAGACTGTCTTGGCAGGCCCTGAAGCGAGAAACCTGGGAGGCTCCCATCTTCAAAACGCTTCTGCTGATGAAAATGCAGGAGGCAATGCCAGGCACCCCACAAACCTGGCAGCCTGTTCGAAGTCCTCGGATGTGATAGCCTTCATCACCTAGGCAGTAGAAGGATGGTAAGGCTCATGTAGCAACTTCTGAACATCCCTGCTCCACCTGATCAGAGCACTCGCGGAGCTCGAGCAGATCGTCTACAAGTTTGAGTGCCTTAAACTGAAACGAGGGTAGCCAGAGCGCAAAGTCCATCGTGGGTACTGAGCCTTCGGACATCAAACACACGGCTGCACACCACGTCTAGCTTCCGCACGCGGAAGCTGAGCTCATCAGCAACACCAGACCTACACAAAAAGTGTTCACAGTTTTGAGGTGCAATGTTCCACATGACTTCGGTTCCCCAGGCCCAGATCTAAGGTCAGGGCGTCTGTTGCAAGGTTTCCTGGAGCTTTCGGATTGCTCCAGGCACCTATTTGGGCGGATCAACCCCAACAACATCAGACAAAGTAGGGGGCCGTCGCTGCTACCTGCTTGTGCTGCTCACCCAGAAAGGCCAAGCTCCGGCTTTCACTTTGACCTCGAGCATAGCAACTCAAAGCTCTCCAAGCTCCAAGCTGAGCAGTGGCCATTAGCATCACCTACAAAGCCCTTGCCCTCTCCGCGCGAACGCATCCCGCTTTGACTTGAATACTGACCAGGGCTTGAGCACAAGTGCGCTGCTTTGCTGTACAATTTGTCCAGCTCTAAGTCCAAGTCCTTCAACAAACTACGAAAAAAAATAAGAAGACGACTCTCGAAACTGACATTCCAATTCCGTCCTGTTCTTCGGCTTGCAAGCTGATCAGCTCGGCCTCCACAGCCTTTGGACAACTGAACCCTCAGCAGCTTGATGATCTGCTGAGAGCTGCCGAGCCTCCATTGAAGGTGCCATGCCACTTGCTTGCCTCGGACACATTCCCTCCAATGAAGCTACAAGCAGCTGGACAAGTAGCGGAGCGCGTCACGCATGAGAAGAATATGCCAAGTAACTGGAACTTGTGTGACTACAGCATTTTGTAAAATTGTGCAACGCTCACAGCCTCGCAAAAGTTGCGCATCACACATCAAGGCACCATGCATGTTACCTCATATTCTCTGCTTTTGATTAAGTCTCGCTGAAGCTTCTTGGTGCTTGGCTTCTGAGATCTGTGCCCTTACAAAAGCAACCTGCAAATAGGTTTGCGATGATCAAACTGATGGCATGGCATGCTTGCTTCTGCTGCTCAATTGTTGATTCTAACATCTACCTCAGGGTGAACTCATACATGGTCGCAAGCGATACCTACACCGCGCTCGTCAAGCTTTGAAAGATCTCCTACAGTCCCTACCCGGCCCTACCCGCCCTGACCATAGCCTAAATTGGAAAACTTGGTCTTCTATAGCTGCTATGTCTTCTGCACCTCTGCACCTGACTTCTACTGGCCGCGACGATGTCACTGCTTGATACGTCATCGGAAACACTGCAAGCAGGTGCTCGTATGAGAACAGCGGTAGCCACAGAAGCAGTGACGGTGGCAACAGCTATAGCAGTGGCAGCAGTAGCAGCAGCAGCAGCAATAGCAGCAGCAGCAGCAGCAGCAGCTGCTGGCATGACAGTCTTTCGTGCGCAGCAGATGTGCTGTCTAGATATCTACTTGAGCTGACTTCTGAGCTCGAAAGCTTAGAAAAACCAGCTTGCACCCAGCTTTGGAGAATGCAAGTTCCAGAGCCAGCCTCACCTGGGCTATGGCATGATGCGCAGATATGGCCCGATGATGTCCAGAGTTGAGAAACTGTCGCATGGGACTTACCAGCTTCAAGGCATCCTTTCTGGAAACTGATGTTAAGCACATGATTCGCCGCTTTCAGAGTCTTATTTTCGTGAAACCATTCTGCCGGGAAGACGCTGATGACCTGATTGCGAAAGTGACTTTGACCTCCGCAGCCATCATCAGCAGATGACAACACCGTTCGCAACGTAGGATTTGACTTTCTAGGATGTCCTCCGTTGCATGTGCTGTTAAAACCTCTTTCGGCTCTAAGCTACGCCTGGAGCCAGAAGAGATGCACACTGTGAGCCACAGGTCTTTCTGAAGCAAGAAAGGATACGCAATCTGTAAATGTCAGCAGGACAGCCTGCAGCTTACCTGCAGCTTGACGTCCACATCTCAATTTCGGGGACCTTGCCTCTCAGTGCTTGACAGTATCAGCTCATTGGCCATGTTGCCACAAGTCCAATCCAAATTATTTCGAAAGGTGCTAATCGAATGGCCCGTTGCATCGCAAAGAAGAGCGGGAACAGTGGACTGAGGCATCCACGGCTTTAAGATCAGGTTCAGCCGTTCGGCTTTGCCCCCTTCTGGTTGCAATCTAAGCCATGCTCGAAAGTCGAGCTGGTCGCATGCAAGCACACATTGCTTCAGCCAGGCATTGCCTTGCCATACCAGCGTGCTCCTTCTCATTACACATATCACACCAATAGATTCTGCATCTATGACACTTTGTAGAAACCTTTGTGTTATCGGAAGTGAAGTGTAAATTTGAGTCTATAGGGATACTCAAATTTACATGGCTCCTCAGTACCCGTCGTTCTGGGACAGCAACCAGCAGTTGTACCATTTGTCGACTTGCTTGAAAGCATGGAACGCCACAGCGGCCCTCAGTGTAACAAGCTTCGCAAAGCTCATCAACTCTGGACTATGGCTCTCAGACTGCGGTCAACAGTTATACACAGGCGCAGGCAGGACAAGGGGGCCAAGGCACTTGTTTCCGCAATCGACGCCCCAGCAGCGTTCATCGTGCAAGAAATTTCCGAAGTCCACAACCTGTGGACACAGAATCCAAAAAAAAAAGAATGCGACTTGTGTACAGTTCACATTTTTTTTGCTGGGTTCTGCAATCGTCGAGGCACCGCCCTGCTTCCGAGCATCTCGAGGCAGTTGGTCATGTACTTGTCTTCACCCCAGGCACCAAAAGGGAACCGCTGCTCACACCTGCCAGAAAAACACCAGGTCCAGCTGAAACACATTACACACTAAGTAACATCGGTGACCTCTCTCAGTTCGTTTATGAACCCAAAGAGGTTGCAACACTGCAGGCACCTTCCATGCTGCGACAGATATGCACCCAAGGAAGACTTCGAAAAGACTTCCAACGCACCGTACATGGTTACCTCGGATACCCGACAGCAAAAAGTTTGGCAAGTGGTGGTAAGTGGTTGCTTCGGTGTTGTTTATCGAAGTGGAATCGAGAAGCTCAAGCCATCTAGAACTGAAAACAATTGACAAAAGGATGCTGTTGGCTGTTTCGGCAAGGGTGTATTGGAAACGCATGCATGAGGCCAGCTCTTTCCCTGTGCACTTGCATCACTTGCATGGCACTCTACGCCACGCAGACGTCTTGGCCACCAGGCCCTTTGACATTGTCTCCCTGCTCACCGCCCACTATTTGGCATGCATGAACTGTCTGGGCACCTCATGTTTTTGGTTGGGTTGGGTTGCCCGGGTAGACTGGGTAAACATCAGACAACTGTCAGTCATCAAGTAAATTTGCCAAAACGGCCGCAGCGCCCGGCATCTGCACGCTTGCAGGCACAAATCTTCTCAGACCCAAGTTGCATGGCTACGGACGTTCAGGCAACCCAAGACTAACTCGGCATCGCAAGGCCACCCTGGCACACCAACTCCTCAAACCGCCATGAACATGAGAAAAGAAAAACGTTCCGATGGCATGACCGAGGCTCTGGAATGTACTTGCCACAGTTCCTAAGGTGTTTCCCAGCACCCCTCGTCGCTTGATCTCTTCTTTGAAGCAATCAATGTCGCAGCAACGTCATGTCGTGTGAATTAAGCCCAGCATCAGGAAAAATGCGTTCTGTCCAACGTAGTTGGCCACATGGCCCCGCAACCGCGATGGGAAGAAGACACAGTCCGGGTCAACCTCAGAGCGACAACTGGAAAGCAAAATGAGGCACCACGCATCATTCTCCCATATTCCTTTTGACCCCTTGCACCACAACATGTCATCAGCATCCACTGCGAGCACAAGCCTTCGCAATGAAGTCGTACTTGTACCAGTCTGTGCCGGTCCTTGGGCTACGTCTCTTGTTCAACATCTTGGGCTCAAGTAATGTGCAGCTGCGACGCAGTAATGCCATCCATGTGTTCATGAACACTTGAGTGTTGGCGGCGTAGCCGTCTCTGCTCACTCCAGAATATGTCGATGGAATCAATCTCCTGGGCAGTCTTCACAGATCCAAGGCAGCGTCTGTGTTGCGATACTCTAGGGCAGTGAAGCTTGGTGTACCGTGAAGGCATGCATCACAGAACTTCTTGAATCAGGGAAACAATTTTGTCGGGTGGACAGCTATTGACTTTGCACGAGATCAACGCAGCAGAATATTCAAAACCGCAGCTGGGCAGACAAATCAGGTTTTTTGAGCAGCGCCATGGTGCAAATCAGCCTTTCTTTAAACCACACAGTCGATGCAACAAGACCAGCAATGGCCTTAACCTCTGTGTACCTGTGTGGCTGCGCAGACTTTTGCTGTTGGGAAAGTTTTGGTTGGAGATCGCGATCGCTTAACAAAAGAAACCGGGAATGATCGAGTCGCCCCTGCTTAAAACAGTAACAAAAATGTGTGGCAACGAGTGTTCAAACATAGCACGTGAGCAGTCTGCCCTGCAAACGTGGTGACCACATGAAGGAAGTCATTCTTGTTCCTGGAGGGGCAGACCCACGTGGCCAGAAAGCAGGAAATGCATACTTTCGAGCCAAAGACATTGGGTTTAACAAACCGAGCGAGCTCACGAAACAAACAAAGCGAATCAACAAAAACTGACAATGCCCTTCAGCAGGCCCGCCTGGCCATACACCGTCTTTCTTCAATGGAAACCCCCTTCAAAAGCACTTAAGAGTTCGACTGGAAGGGGTCTGAATCTCAAACAAGGGCTGGTCTAGATTTTCAAGGAAAATGAAGAGATGCACGTGAAACAGCAACATGAAGGGCTTCGCTCTTGCAGTGAACTAGATGAAGCCGGCGGCTGAGCCTTCTCGATCTCGGGATCAAAGCTTTGAATCTTCAAAAAAACAACAGGCTTGCGAATCTCATCCACATCTTAGGCTTGAGGGCACAACCGTCCGCAAGGCATTGGCTTTGACATCTGCTTCTCTTTGCAGGAATTCTCACGCGCAATCAAACCCTCCAACCAAACATGCAGTTTGAACTGTCAGCATGTGCGGGCCTGTGATAGGAAGTACACGAGAGGAAAACTACACAAACACCTTGAAACTCCATACTCCATCTGGGGTGGGCACAGCCGAAGATGGACAGGCAGACTAAACTCAAAAGGACATCATGGAGCGGATACAAAGAGGCTGGAAGCCCATGGGAAGTGCTGCAGGCTTAGCAGCTTGGGTGGTTGAGTGAAAGGCCGACCTGCCCGCTTCAACATAATGTGCCAAAGCTTGCAACAGCTTGGCTGAGCATCGTCTTCAAACCATCAATATCCACCGAGCTGTCGCTGTAGACCTTAAAGCATGCAGCGTGCTCCAAATTAGCCAAGATCTTCAACATTCTTCAACTTCCACTGCCCCAAAGATTTGCTGCCATGCTGCAGCAAAGCCGTCGCAAGCAAAGATTCCTGCTCGGATCTGCTGTTGCATATACATGGTATCCATCTCCTCAGGTATGAACCGAGAAACGCCCTACAGCGGTCCACTGTATCAGCAATAGCAACGAGTGCTGACACTCGCTCATGGCAGTCCGGGTAGATTTATGCAAAATCACGTACTTGAGGCTTGAGGCCCTTGTCTGGCAGTCAAGTCACTGGTCCAACTCTTGCTACGGAGAAGCAGAAGAGAGACGGTTTGCCCTTGTCCTCCAGACAGCATCGGCTCGAAAACTTCCGGGTCTTTCAAACCTCTTTTCTAGGACACCACACGTGGCTGCCTTTGGTGTATATATGATTATGTTTTCAGGAGCAGGTCCAGATTTCAGTACAATCTGGGAAGCTGAATGTGTTCCCATACTGGGTAGACATGAAGCTCACATGGCACTGTTCTAACCACTAACCGAAACTTTGTCCAAGCCCCACCAGCGGAGGCAAAGGATATTCGCCATCGCATGGCTTGCTGCAGCCGCCTGCAAGTTGATCTCACGACTGTGCTCGCATGCAGCATCACCTGCTGGACATGCAAGAGTAGTTCAGTCATAGTATCTTGTAATCGTCGTCGTCCTTGTAGCTTTAATTCATCCATGTTCATCCCCACCACTTTGGCTAATTCAAGCTATTATATGCTCTGGTGGCACTTGGGTAACAAGAAGCTCTCTGTGGGTGTCCCAACAAAGGTCAAGTCTTGCAGCCCCCGAACATTTTCTCAACCAAAGGCCCCCTAGGGCTATGCGTCTTGACATGTTTTGATTGTTGACTTGCACTTTTCACCGCACGCAATTCTCTTTAAGTTGGCCATTGCGATATGTAGACAAACATCTCATAGGGATCTTGAACCTGCCCATTTCATAGAGAAAAGCTTAAGGATTGTACATTTGATCCATGGGAATGAGCACAGACATAGTCGCGGTCTCTGACTCGCTGGCCTTGCCCCTTGCCCGCCAGCCACTCCTGTCAAAAAGAACAAGCTCTTTCACCTCGACATTTCCAGATGGCAAACTTCATCTAGCAAAACGAACCAGTCACGTCAACGAGATTGATGGCCACTTCGATGCAGCTTATCCAAGCTCAACAAATCAACGCAATTTGTCCTGTATTGCACCGCGGTTAGCAGTTTTACGATCCAGACCACTGTACCAATCAGGGTGTTCGACGAGGCCAATCCTCAGATGAAAGATTGGGCTCAACACCTCTCGCTGGGAAACAGACTTGAGCCGCTGCACAACCAAAAAAAGTACATGCATGTTTTGCCATCAACTGAGCCGTACTATTGCATGCATAGCATCCATTTTGCCCAAAGGACGGCCTTCGCCAGCTTGCGTGCAAAGGCAGGGCTATTGTTCTGTCTAGCTACCGGCAGGCAGATTGACTTGAGTTCCCCAGCAGAAAGTATCTATCGATCCAAATGAAAAAATCTAGGTGGACCTTGAAAAACAGACGTCTTTCTGCCTGGACGATGGGATAGAAAGAGAGACACAAAGTGATAATGATTGTTGAAAACTTAGTTTAAAAAAAAGAAGAAAAAAAAAGAAAAAAAAAAAAAAAAAAAAAAAAAAAAAAAAAAAAAAAAAAA